TTTTTTCTTCAAAAAATTAGGCAACCGGCATGTCGCTTATACTTCTAAAAACAAACAAAATAAGAAGAACGATATTGTCAAAGTAACTACTCCTATAAAAACCTTTTAGGACATTTGAAAGAGTAAAATACGAAAAAATAAATTTAGACAAAGAAACAAAAAATTGACCATAGTCTATGATTAAAACAGCAAGATGGAGACAGACGTTTAAAAAGGTTAATTAATTGCAACTAGTTGTGTATGCGTGGGGTTGGGGTGGAAATTGACCCAGAAGTTAGAAAGCGATGACGATACGATGCTAGGTTTGTTTAATCTTAATTTTGGTTTCTAATCATCTTGTAATGTATAGTTAAAAAGAAGGCGTCCTAATTACAAGTTGACCAAAGCAGCATAATGACTAGAGGGTTTAAATGATCTATTCAATCGGTGTAAAGAATCTTTTACTCTATTAAGTTACCTTTTTCTATGTAGTATGTTTATGTCTTACTTTCAAGATTAAAAATTTCGTTTTTTTAATAAAGCTTATCTATATAGATATTTTTTGGGTGACCTAATAATATAAAACTGACGGTATATATAACTTATCTTAAATTGATATAAAATTTATTTAATTATCAATATTTATAGTTAATCCTTATTGAATTATCCATTAATGCTTATCATGGAGTTGTATTTATTGTTATCCTATAGTAATAAAATTGATTGTGTAAATCTTACCTCATGGGTGCATAAAACTTAACCTACTACGTATTAAAAACAATAAAACAGTAAGAAATTACTTAAACTTTTTAAACGTTCACGTCAAGTATCTTTACTACACAGACTGACATCATATATACTTGATTATACACCTAGACTGAGGTGTTCAAATCGAATCGAAAAATCACACCAAATCAATTAAAAACTCGTATTAGGTTTGATTTGATTTGGTTTGATGTTGAGTAAAAAAATTCAAACCAGACCGACATATAAATATATAATTTTTATAAGACTTTATAAAGATTTTTTTAAAGAAAATGTCTAGAAATATTTGGGATCCTCTTATGAGATGTAATATTTAATATAACTATGAAGCACATCCATTTTTATTTACTTTAAATAATTGGTTGTATCATCACGTACTTATCAAGTATTATTGAAATGCATCAATTTCTTTGTTCTTCCATATTCATATTTCAAGATCTATTAAATTCTTATATCATTTTTGAATTTGAAATGGTATTTCAATAATTTAAAATTAAATAGAATATATCGTTATTTAGGTATCATATTGATTTTTATGTTTAATTATTAAATTCGGTTAACCTTACTTTAAATTAAAATTTGCGTATTGTTAACTTGACATATTGAGATATGTAAATAAGGGCAAATTTTGAAAAAATATTTTTTTTGATTATGTAAACGGCAAAGGGCCAAATATACCCCTGTACTATGAAAAAATATTTAAATATACCCTTAGTTATACTTTGGGTTTAAATTATCCTTGTCGTAATACTATTGGTCCAAATATACCATTCTTCTGTTAAGTTTGTCCAAGGTGGACATCCAATCCAACGTGACACTGATATTTGATGAGGTGGATGCCACATGGCTATCACGACCCAAAACTCAGTCTGTCGTGATGGCGCCTAACGTGGTACTAGGCAAGCCGACACCTCAAAATATTTTCAACACTTTTAAGTAAACAATGAAATAACACAGGTTTGAATAATTAAAGTTCTCATAAACTGGATAAGAAGTCAAAACTTAATACGGAAGTTCCCAAAACCAGGGTGTCACTAAGTACATGAGCGTCTATACAACACAAGTTTGAAGGTACTGTCTATGAAAAACTGAAACTAAATACATAAAGCTAAAAAATATGGGAGGAGTCAAGGTTTACGAATGCCAGGCAGCTAACTTGAAATCTATGAAATGGTTAAGCAGCTCAGATAATCAACACTCACCGTGTCCGAAAATACCTGGATCTGCACACGAAGTGCAGGGTGTAGCGTGAGTACAACCAACTCAGTAAGTAACAAGACTAGCTATTGGATTAGAAGTAGTGACGAGCTTCACGGATACAGTTCAATTTCAGAAAATATAATACAGAAACATAGGCATGCTTTCAAGTTCGACAGATAAAGCTAAAACAAATAATTCATGCCAAGCTCAATTGAAACAGGATATAGTATCTCTCAAAAATTTTATGACAGTGATATATGCCAGCTGAAGTACAATAGTAATGAAATCAAGTGCAGATGCTGAGAGTGACAATCACTCAGTCCTCTCATTCACTCTAACCTCACAGTCACTCATTCCTCACCATATCTCATTTCTCTCAGACACTCGGCACTCGCAATCGCACTCAGTAGGTACCTGCGCTCATTAGGGGTGTACATACTCCGGAGGAGCTCCTTCAACCCAATCGCTATAACAAGCTAATCATGGCATAATTCAATAAAACATGTTGCGGCGTGCAGCCCGCTTCCATAAATATCCTCACAATCAGGACCTCGACCTCACTTAGTCATCAATCTCTCCAGTCTCTCGGGCTCTCAATAATCATAATAATCAGCCCAAAGCAACGATAATATAATGTATCAATAAAGAACAATTGAGACTGAGATATAGTATGCAGTAAAACTGTAACTGAGTACAAAACAGTAACTTAGCAGATAATTCAACATGTAACACGACCTCCGTGGGTCCCTATAGTGCCAACACATAGCCTAAACATGATTTCTAACATGATTTACAGTTCAATTTTTATAACACATGGAGAACATACGGATAACAACAAATTATTTAACTGTACAGTTCCATTGAATTGACCAAGTCACAATTTCTACGGAGCACGCCTACACGCCCGTCACCTAGTATGTGCGTCACCTCAAATCCAATCACATGACACATAATACAGGGTTTCATACCCTCAAAACCAAATTTAGAACTGTTACTTACCTCAATCTGTGCAAATTCCTACTCCAATACGCCCTTGCCTTGCGAATCGGCCTCCAAATGCCCCGAATCTAGGCACAAACAGTTCGATACAATCAACACGAGCTAAAGAATCAATTCCACAAGAAAACACTAACTTATTAATCAAAAGCCAGAAGTCGACTCAAAAGCCGGCCCCCGGGCTCACGTCTCAAAATCCGATAAAAGTCATAAAATCAGAAAGCCCATTCAACCACGAGTCCAACAATAATAATTTTACCAAAATCCGACACCAAATCGTCACTCAAATCCCCAAATTAAACTCTCTCTAGCCTCAAACTCCCAAATTACACCTCAAAACCACACAATTTAGGTGGAAAAATCAATGGGAAAATATAATTATTGAATGAATTTAACCACAAATGACTTACCTCAAGAACCCCCTCGAATTTAACCACAAATCCTATGAAATATCGCCCAATCCCAGCTTGAAATGTTCAAAATGAAGAAAAATCGCGAACCGTTGAATTAATATGCATTGCCAGTGGCTCCGTTTCTGCAGTTCATTTAGCCGCTTATGCTGTAAGGGATCCACACCTGCGGGCTTACACTCAACCCCGACCTACCGCTTCTGCGGGCAAGGTCTCGCACTTGCGAAACCGCACCTGCGGCCCCGCGTCCGCTTCTACGCGCCCACACCAAGACCAAATTTCGCACCTGCGACCACAATCCCGCTTCTGCGGACTGGAAGGTGCGCTCCTCCTTCCGCACCTGTGGCCAAAACCCTCGCAGGTGCGATCACACGAGAAGGTTCCTAGTTCAGCAACACACTAAATCTTTTTTTCGATTCGTTAACCATCTGAAATCAACCCGAGACCCCCGGGACCTCAACCAAACACACCAACAAGTCCTAAAATACGATATAAACTTAGTCGAGCCCCCAAATCACATCAAACAACATCAAAAATACGAATCGCATCCCAATTCAAGCCTAATGAAAACTAAGAATTTCAGTTTTTACAAACGATGTCGAAACATATCAAATCACGTCCGATTGACCTTAAATTTTGCACACAAGTCACAAGTGATAACACGGACCTACTCCAAATCCCGAAACCCAAATCCGAGCTCGGTATCCACAAAGTCCACTCTCGGTCAAACTTCCAATTTCCAACTTTCGCCATTTCAAGCCTAATTCTATTACGGACCTTCAAATCACAATCCGGACATGTTCCTAAGTCTAAAATCACCCAGCAGAGCTAACAGAACCATCAAATCTCCATTCCGAAGTCGTCTACACATAAGTCCACATTCGGTCAACCTTTTTAACTTAAGTTTTCATCCTTGAGACTAAGTGTCTCAATTCATTCCGAAATCTCTCCGGTCCTGAACCAACTACCCCGTCAAGTCACATAACAACTGTAAAGCATAAAAATGAGCAGTAAATGGGAAAACGGGGCTACAACTCTTCACTCTAGAAACGATCGACCGGGTCGTTACAATGGCATACCACCTCAGCACCCCTAATCCATATATAAAAGATTAAAATTTAAAATACAATATTTTTTATGATAGCGGTAATAGTGGCAATAGTGGTGGAGGGGAAGGAAATTTAGTGGTGGAAAACAAAATAGAAGGGAGGGTTAAAATGGGTTAGGGCGCTGAGGCAAGTCATGTGGCATCCACCTTATCAAATGTCAGTACCACGCAGGATTGCTTAACGGAAAAGGGGTATATTTGAACCAATAGTATAACGACATTGATATATATGGACTCAAAGTATAACGAGGGATACATTTAAATCTTTTCTGATAGTACAGGGGTATATTTAGTCCTTTTCCGTTAGGTAAAAGGACACTTGTTATGAACCAAAATAAAGAAGCCAAAAAGTCTTGTTATGGATCCGAAGGCATAGTAATTTTTATATATTAGGGAAAACCACCAATACTTTACAAGGACAGTTAATAGTATAGTTTCTGGATATCCTTTATAGGAATGCGTAACCTTCCACATTCACAAGGTTATAAAATCAAAGGAACATGCCCAACAAAAAATAATCTCACAATTCACTAAATTAAGCAATGGCTGATCAAAATAGTACTGGTTCTCCTGGAAGTTCCATGCATGGCGTTACCGGCAAAGAGCAAACTTTTGCCTTCTCAGTTAAATCCGATCCCAAAATCCCCACAGACACAACAGCAAAATTCGCTTTACCAGTTGATTCAGAACACAAAGCTAAAGTCTTCAAAATCTTCTCTTTCGCAAAACCCCATATGACAACTTTCCACCTTTCTTGGACTTCATTTTTCACTTGTTTTATCTCCACTTTTGCTGCTGCTCCACTTGTCCCTATTATTCGTGACAACCTTAACCTTAAAAAAAGCGACATAGGAAATGCTGGAATTGCTTCTGTTTCTGGTAGCATTTTTTCTAGGCTTGTTATGGGTGCAGTTTGTGACTTGTTAGGTCCGCGCTACGGTTGTGCTTTTCTTATGATGCTAACTGCTCCCACTGTATTTTGCATGTCGTTTGTATCGTCCGCTGGTGGTTACGTTGTTGTTAGGTTTATGATTGGATTTTCTTTGGCTACGTTTGTTTCGTGCCAATATTGGATGAGTACTATGTTTAATAGTAAAATTATTGGACTTGTTAATGGTACTGCTGCAGGGTGGGGAAATATGGGTGGTGGGGTGACTCAATTGCTTATGCCGTTACTTTATGAGTTAATCCGCCGTGCCGGAGCAACTCCGTTCACGGCGTGGCGGATTGCGTTTTTTGTTCCGGGATGGTTGCAGGTGATCATGGGTTTATTAGTTTTGGGACTAGGTCAAGATTTGCCTGATGGAAATCTTGGTACTTTACAAAAGAAAGGAGACGTTCCAAAAGACAAATTTTCTAAGGTTACATTAACTTCAATTTTACACCAAAAAAGGTGGAAATGATTAATTTTCTGACTGTTTCTTTTATGGTTGAATCTTTTTTTCTTACTGATCAGGTGCTTTGGTATGCTGTGACAAACTACAGAACATGGATTTTTGTACTTCTATATGGCATGTCACTAGGTGTGGAATTAACCACTGATAATGTGATTGCAGAATACTTCTTTGACAGGTTAGATTCTGTTAATTAAAATGATCCTATCTTTCTTCCCCCTTTACTACTCAACTCTCTAACTTGGTAATATATATACAGTCAAATTTCTTTATATCAGTCTCGTTTGTTCCGATATTTTCTAGCTACTATAGTAAAGTTGTTATAGAAAACATACATTATAACATAACATGAAAAGTTGATTCCAAAGAAAATTTAACCATTACAGTGAAGTGTTGTTATAGAGATAACTGTTAAAGAGAGGTCTGATTGTATATGTAAAAACAATTCAGACATTAAATTTTGTGCATCAACAGTCAAAGCGGATCCAAAATTTAAACTCAATGTGGGTTATTAATCTTGCACTAAACTCATTTATTACCTATTAAACTTATAGGTTTAATTAGATTTTACACTAATTGAGATTTTAGTAAATTTTCACATAGATATTTATATTTTTTGTCGAAAGGTCTGGCTGAACTCATAGCGAAAAGGCTACATCCAACTCTGTCCACAATTAATAGATTGTTTATGTTGTGTTTTTAAGTTAGTCTTATAGTAATAAGTAACTTTTCATAATAAGACAGTGCTCAGAAAAGCAAGATGATAAATTGATAATAATGCAACAAATTTCATAATTTAAATCCTTACAATAGATAACAAAGCCAACGAAAATAAAATCGCATGAATTGTATCACCTAATATTTTTTTCATTTTTTGGTTTAATATTAAGGTTTAACCTAAAGCTTAGGACGGCCGGCACAATTGCTGCAACATTTGGCATGGCAAACTTAGTAGCTCGACCATTAGGAGGCCTAATGTCAGACATAGCAGCAAAGAGATTCGGAATGAGAGGCCGTCTTTGGAATCTATGGATCCTCCAAACATTTGGAGGAGTTTTCTGTATTCTTTTGGGCAAATCCAACAAACTTTCAATTTCAATCTTATCAATGATACTTTTCTCAATTGGTGCACAAGCAGCTGCTGGTGCAACATTTGGTATTATTCCCTTTATTTCAAGACGTTCTCTTGGTATTATCTCTGGATTAACTGGAGCTGGAGGAAATTTCGGTTCAGGATTGACACAACTTTTGTTTTTTACTCGAGCTAATTATTCAACTTCTACTGGATTGTCATTTATGGGAGTAATGATTGTGGTATGTACACTTCCTGTTACGTTAGTACATTTTCCACAGTGGGGGAGTATGTTTTTACCCCCTAGTAAAAATGTTGGGAAATTTAGTGAAGAGTATTATTATGGTTTGGAGTGGAATGAGGAGGAGAAGTTAAAAGGGTTGCATGAGGGAAGCTTGAAATTTGCGGAGAATAGTCGGTCGGAAAGAGGCCGGCGGGTGGTTTCTGTAACATCTCCGCCGGATGCTACACCACCTACTGTATAAACTTTATACTCGTACTATATTTTACATGCTTTGCAATATAAACTTGGCTGAAATGTGTATTCAATTTCTATTCCATAAGTTCTGCAATGAAACAAATAAGAAAATGAATTTAAGTTATATACATTAATAGTTTGTAACAAGTTATGCACTATGTTTCATGTTACAATACAAGATTTGCTATGAAAATTATACAATGTTGTTATATGTCAATTTAATTTTGTTGGTGTGATATACTTCGTTTATAATACTTAAATCACTAAAAGATAATAAAGATAACAAATGAACGTAGAAAATTCGTGCAAAGATTATTAAAGTGACAATATGTCAATATGTATTAATTAATCATGATTTAGTGATAAACATATATGTGAAGACATGTGTGACATATTCATTGGATTGATGTAAATACCGCGTGCAAGCCTTGTTTGTTATGGTCTATAATAAATGTTAGGATAGGAGTATATACTATGGACAATGGGCCGGGTTGGTATATTTTTTCCAGGCCGATAGGCCTACACCTTAGCAGGCCTCATTATAGTGGGCTGTGAGCGAGGTCATAATGGATCTGGGCTAGTACGACCTTTCACAACCCCAGCCCAAGAACTTGCCAGAGTTATCTTGTAACAATCCCATTCATCAACTCAAAAATTGAGAATTAAATAATGTACATTATATTGTATTTTTTCTAGTTTAAGGTCTATGACACAAACAAAGCTCTTTGTCATATTATCCAACCTTTTAACGAAATTAACTTAATTAATATTTAAACCGATGGACTTAATTAATGCATATAAACTATTTAGAAATTGAAAAATTAATGTAAGTTCGAATAATTGATACTGAAACTGACATTATTATTAGAAACTTTGATGATTTTTTGTTAAAAAATGCTGCTATCATTTAAAAGAGTAGGATTTTTCTCTTGAAACTGATCTAATGGTCCAACGGTTTTATTTACAACTTGTTGGCTCTTTATCTTTAAGAATACAAACGCACGTAAGTTTGAACGGCTTTGGTCAAACAGGAAAATATGAAACTTTAACATAGTGATAACAATACTGATCATGCACGTGAATGTGCGTTAGTCATCTTGCTGCAGAAATTCTAGTGTTTCTAATGGTTGCTTTTTTCAACTTTGGTACGAAAAATGTGAAAAAGAAGTTTCATTTTTACCACAAAGGGTAAATTTTTTGTTTCCAATACCAGTCGAACCATCCTATAAATCATAAATTAAAAAGTAAAAACTTGGCCCTTTGTAATCAAATTAAGGATTTAAGTTACTTAATCAAACCCATGCTTTTCCTTTTTTCATGCTTTTTTGCTTCTCATTTTAAAACTTCTACCTTTAGTTACTAAGAAAATAGAGTTTTGAACATATTTTAGAAAATGACCGCAATATTTGCGGCTGATACAAATTTAATTAAGATGAAACACTAACCTAATCTCACAACAGCAAAAAAAAAAAAAAAAAAA